TTTGAGTTTATGCTCATTTGTACGTAAGCGACTATTTKCATTAGTATACAATAATAAGTCATGTAAAGACTAGTACTTTCCAATACCCACTGTCAATTTTGTTGATACGGCCTGTATTAAGGACATGAATCAAAAAGTAACTTTAACACCACCTTAATTTGAAACGTTTCGTTTAAACGTTTAAATGTGATTGATATGTGTCCTTAAGCTGCATTTATCCTGTGAAATGACGGACTATACGGTATGATTTATGCATACCTTGCCATGGAATTATTATGATGTTGGCACAACTGCTGGTCGACTATTAGATAGCTACGTATATGAACAAATAAACCCACAAARGCTTTCATATTTATCAATTKAATCTCATTTTCCTTCGCTTTTTCTAATTTAACGTTAATTTTCTTTGAATCTTCAAATTTGAAGCATGCAAAGACGACTTGGCAAACCTGAATGCAAGATAAACTGAAGTCAAGTTTTTTTTCTTTTACTAATGTATTTATGAGTAGTGAATTAGAAAAAAGAAAACAAACAATGTTCATAGAATCACTGTGTACATCCTAGTTATATATCTTAGTAAAAAAACAGAGGGTGATATATAATAATTGATGTGGCAACGCAAATGAGACGCTGGTTAAGAGACAATTGTCAAACTGACTAAAAAATCAACTGCATTTTKTTGTAGAATTGAAATTGTAACATAATAACAAAACAGGAAMAATAATTCAAAACATACTGTAACTTCCAGCAATTTTTATAAAAAAAATGACAGAAAATTGTTTTATTTRACATTGTAAAAGGATTAAATTTAGCAGTTGTTTGTTTATTTTTAAGTCGACTCGGCAAAACTGGATCAAAGATGGCGGACATATTGATTAACAGCCAGGCAACACACGTAAACTGTCCAATTTCTACAAAAACTTTGCAAATATTGATTTTTATTTTCTTTTAAAAACAAGCTTTCCTCTTAAATTTTCTCCTTAAAAAAACATTAAAATATTATGCATAAATTTTGAATGTGATTTTTGGCAGTTTRACATTGTTGGATTGACTGTCGTGTGCTAGCACATCTTCCTTCTTTTTGAGTGTACCACGTGGTTGGTAGTCCTGACTAGATGTTTTTGTCCATTCCGAGAGTAATGAACCTAGCTTCTCCCTTCACTGTTATGATTTTTTGTTTCTATTAATTTATGGAATTTCTGTTGTGGTTTTCCTTGTGGTACGCATTAAAAAGCCTCTAATTTCAAGAAAAATCCATTTATACGAGAGAGTCTTGTTCAAGATAAGATAAATACCGCCCTACGCATATGTTGGCTTGTGAATGAGGGTTAGCAAAGCATGATGGTATGGAGACATCTAACCCGTGAAGCAAGCTGTAATAATTGAGTAGGTTTTTAAGATACTCAATACCCACAATTCCTTTGAGTCGTAATATTAGTCAATTTCACCACGGATTGKTCTTCAACAAAGTTCCTGAAAATTGCTGTCTGATAATTTTGACTAAATTGGACGGCGAAACTTCAAAGAGTGTCAAAATAATAGTGTCTGTGGATGGTTTTATTTACACAGATTCTCTTTTAATCTTTTCACACGCTCGGGAAACGGATGCCGTTCTATTCTGATTTTTGCTAAAGAGACTGATTGATTTCTACTCACACACTCACCGACACTTGTTTTTATTAAACTTGCTTTCGGTTTCAAATTACACGTGGGCGATTCATGAATTGTAATCGTTTCGCTTATCACTTGGTTTATTTTATTTTGATCTTTGCTGTTTCATTTAGATTGTAAGAAACTCCCATTGCGGTCAATCACTCGCTTTATTATCAAACCGTTCTCTTCATTCATCCATTTTTTCATTCATCCATTTTTTCATTCATCCACTTATCATGATTAATTCATTTATCCAATTATCTTCACTCCATGCTTTCACTAATCTTTTCGCTTATCATTCATCTAATTGCATGAAATATGACATTTACACTTAATCACAAATGAATTAAAAAAGAAATTATAAGATCACTCAGACTAAACTATTTTCATTATTTTTTTATAAATTATTTTTGAACTAATTGATCGTCCATCCATCGGATCTCTTGTACAATTCAAATTCAATTCAATTTCGATCAAAATGTCTTTCAATTCAYTAATWCCATGCCATCTTTAGTCTCATAGCGAACTRTCGATATTCTTGTGGAATAGTCACAAATTACTGAAGGCGAGGCTCAGTGGAAACAAAAGTATTATCAATTATTATCCCGGAACCTCGTCTTGAATTAATTTGTGCTGTGGCTAGTCACTAATTGAAATTGGGTAGCTTTATTCTTRTGAAGTTTTTTAATCCCGAATACAATCGTTATCTATTCCAAATCATTATGTATTCATCCAGTTTCCCGCTCCGTCGACCATCCATCTATTTCCCACAACTCCATCTATTTACTACTAATTATTTTGTTCATTTATTCAATGCCATTCACTTTCCAGTTATCTATTTTCGCATTTGCTAAGTTTCTATTAATATCTCTACCATTTTATTTCTCTTCATTTATTCATTTCAATCTACCAACAAACATAACGCTCTTGGCAAAGACGTTTTCCTATCTGATCAGAATATCGCACTTATCCACAATATTTACACAGGTTTGATCGCCTATTAAACAAAAAACTGAATATTGAGTCATTCTCTGTCGATTTCTGGCGTCAAAAACGGAAAGCAACCGCGCAGGTGAAGATATAGTAAGCGTTTTTATCGATACGCATTAATCCCGATATAGTGCCGGATTCCAGCTCATATTTTTTAATATGATAATCGAACGTAATGTTGGTCTTTTAGGCGTAAATTATCTTTTAGTGCGTGGTCGACCAGCAGATTAAACAAAACTGTGTAAATTGAATTTGGAATAATAGCGCAGCTTTTAAAATACTATGTCGWACTGCCTTCGTAATTCTTTCGTGATGCTTTCGTAATCACATCGTCGTCCTATCGGGCTGTTCTCGTATTTCTTCGTAATGTATTACTAGTTGTCTATTTCGTGCAATGGGTTGATCATCTATGGTCTTTGTACCAATCCTGCCGTTAGCTATTTTTAAACATTAAAATAACCCTTGCAAGAATCCTGCTTCATACTGAGGAATGCTCATGTGAATCGTTTTGCACCTCAATTAATATAAAGATGTGTTTTAGCATGGAATTTTGTGAGCGTCGACTAGTGGTGTTTCACTAYATTTCAATTTTGCTTCGAGTCGTTTCTACACTAATAAGCCGACCGTCGTTATCAAGACATCATCAAAGATATAGCGTAGTGCTCAACGTTCTGGATCGCTTTAAGCTCGTTAAGCAATTTAAATTACAATAGATGAGGTGACGGTTTCGGCCGCCATTTTGCTCCGGTAGGCAAAGTGTCGCAAAATAACAAGGAATGACCGGGAAATCGATGTCAAATAATTCTCGCTGAATTCAAATTCCGAAAGAATTATCAATTGCAAACGTTAGATACTGCAAAAAGGAGTTAACTGGCAAAA